TAGAAGGTAAACCGAGCTTTTCGAAGCTAAATGGTATTCCAGCGTTGCAGTGAACAGTGCACGGACGTTCTGTGTAAAACATTTGGTAAATAAGATACATGATGACGAGAAGTTTTCTGTCATTATTTCGTTTGATAATTAAGTACTTTAAATTGTTTTTTTCAGACCATAATGCCATTTATAAAGCAAACGAAACGAGTTAGACTCGTTGGTTACGATTTGTTGTTAAAGTGTTGCGCAATTATTTTAGGTTATGTGACAAGACTTTTCTGAGAATACACAATATCTTTTTTAGCGAAAAAAAAAAAATAACCAGCTCAGCTATCAGTATGTGGCGAGTAGCAAATATCAGCTAAATGACCTTTGTTGATTCGTATTTTTATTTACCACTAACTTGCTGTTAGTAGAACGTTACTTCCGTTTTGAACTGACGGTTGTAGAGTCAATAAATGTTGTTTATTTAGCGGGCTTGACAATTTTATTTTCAGTCATACTTGGGTCTCCGTTAAGTGTTTCTTAATAGAGATGTCCCAAAAATATGTCTGTTTGCAAATGTACTGCTTTATGTTTCCTATGGTTTAAGTCCGTTTGTTTTTTTCGGTTCTCATTTCTTTCTCACGTTTAATGGTGGTTTATAACACATATTACTAAGGTTCGTGATTGTGCATAACCAGATGTATCCCCTAATATTCTTGTTGGTCATCTGTGCCTCCGGTCAAGAGTATTTTCCTGATACTGGAGACAGCTTAGCGGAGAAGCTTTCGAAAGTGGTTAATGGCAAACCGGTTAGTGAGTATCGAGGAGTTCTTAAACGTGATCACTCGTTGATTAAACCTTATCAGAGTTGGTTGAATTTCTGTTCTTCCAAATGTTTTACATTATTATAGTTAATATAATATATTGTTTCCGGCTGTTCTTAATTACTGTGGTTGGTTTTTTTAGAAGTTTTTTTGATGTTATTTTTTCCTGCTACTGTTCTCAAAGCTTGTAGTTTTGGCAACAGTAATAGCAGTACAGTAACAATGATATTAATAATAACATTACAAACTATATGTTGATAGTTTTTTACAGAGAGCTTTTCTGCAAATTACACCTTTTTATTTGGGGACTAGATTTTTTTTATTTTACTGTAATACTTTGCAGGTTCTGGTATGGATATTCCATATTGGGATATTATTGGTTCTACAATGGTGTCAGGACAGTACATTCGCCTAACCCCAGATGCACAAAGTCGCAAGGGAGCGATATGGAACACGAAAGTAAGCTTCATGCTATTGCGGTCTTTCTTAACTGTCTTTTTAACGCGATTTTTTCATTGGGCTGATGCGAAGTTGTACGTGATTTGCACTAGTAATAATAAATTTTGTGCTTGCTTTTTAATACAGGATTAAGAATCCTCGTTCTGCCTATTGACTTAGATTTTTACTGCTTGGTTTTTTTTTATTTCATCCGTGTTTCTGCGCACTTGAATCCTGTTTTGTTTTCAGCCAGTATGGTCTCGGGATTGGGAGTTCCAATTAAGTTTTAAAGTTCATGGTTCACTGGGTGATCTGTTCGGTGATGGTTTAGCCATCTGGTATACCCAGGAACGAAGCAAAATTGGCGATGTTTTTGGCGCAGGAGATTACTTCCGCGGCCTTGGGGTTTTCCTCGACACTTACAGTAACCACAACGGACCTCATTCAGTAAGTTATACCTTAGAGTATTTATGGATTTCTGACTGTTGTAAACTAATGGCAGAGAAAATATTTTCGTAGTAGGTTGATAAATTGTTACAGGTAAAAAGATTTCCACTTTCTTTACTTTTCTTTCCCAATTTTTGTTAACACTTCTAGCACTCGCACCCTTATATCTCCGCTATGGTTAATAATGGAAGTTTCCACTATGACCATGATATGGATGGAACGCATACTCAATTGGGAGGAGAAAATGTTGGTTGTGAAGCCAAATTTCGTAATAAGGATTACGACACACAAGTACTTATACGATATGTTGGCGACACACTTTCGGTAATGTTTACGTAACATTTTTAACGTTGTCTCGTTAGTTCTGTTAATGATTTTTATGAACATTTATTTGTAAACAATTTCATCTTTTCTCTGTCGTTAAGGAACTGTTATAGAAATGTGAAATTAAATGGCTATCTAATTCCACATTTTCTACTTTTTTTTTCAGATTTTCACTGATATTGCTGGCGCGGGTGTCTGGAAAGAGTGTATGAGCGTGAACGGTGTTAGGTTGCCTACTGGATACTACTTTGGTGTTTCGGCAGCTACCGGGGATCTTTCTGGTATAGTTTTTTCCACACTCAGGCCTTATTTTCATTTAGTCCTACATTTTTTATTCAAGAATTTCTGAATCAAATTATCTTTAGATAATCACGATGTGGTGGCTATAAAAGTTTTTGAACAAGAGTTTGCTCGAGTTGATAAAGAAGGTGATTCGAATTGGCAAAATATTGAGCCGGCAGCGAAATTTGCAGCTTCTCCTCGCGACCATGTTGATGCACCACGTCCATCAAAGCTCGGGTGGATGGGAACATTACTTCTGCTCATTGTTGCAATCGCGGTTATTGCCCTTGTTCTAGGGTTTGGTCTTGTTTTCTTACAGAAGCGTAATGAAAGGTCTAGGAAACGTTTTTATTAATTTAGAATGTTAGGGTTCCTTTGTATAATTACTTTGAATTCTTCTACAAAAGTATAAAATTGGCATACCTACGTTTTCATGGTTTTTTGGCAACTTTCCTCAATGAAAAGTTTATAAAGAGGTAGATGGTGATGGAGAATGAGAATAGATTAATCAGAAATATTTATGTTGCTTTTGCTATTTTTAAATATAAACACCATTTCCGAGTTTTATATTCTACCGGTTTACTGTTTTTTTTTT